TTGCTCTGCCCCGGGCTTCCTGGAATCAGCTGCTGATCAGTTTCAGCAGCAGCTGACTTGGGGACGCCTGGGGTTTTTAAGTTGAATCCATATGTAAGTCAGAACTGGTGTCCAGATTCAGCCGCTGTTGAAACTGATCAGTTTCAGCAGCGGCTGAATCTGGATGCCAGTTCCGACTTACATACAGATTCAACTTAAGAACAAACCTACAGTCCCTATCTTGTACGTAACCCGGGGACTGCCTGTACTACAAAGAGTGGTATAAACAAGCCATTGTCCCTATGAAATTTTAATTTGCATTGACTTTGCTACTGCTTTTTATGGAGTCTATTGTAAATCGGGGCAAATATCTCCATAAGTTACTGTACCCCCAGAAGACTTCTGCTTACTCCCAGGGGTATGTCTCTCCCTGGTTGAGAACCCCTGTTCTAAAAAGCAGTGCAGCTGCAAAACAGAACATTACAGAACCATATCTGCACATGTAGTGCCTAGAACTTGACTGTCTGTCATGAGGAAATGAGCCTGCAGGCGTAACTGGCTGTAAAATATGAACTTTGAATTGTTAGGAAATTGTAATCTGTGACCTGCAGCCCGAAAAAAGCAGTCGCCGGGTGAATAACCAGTAGGACAGATGTTTCATGTCAGAGTCAGCAGGGTCTTTATTAGCATTCATTGAGCAGCATAACGAGTGGGTGAGCAATCACTAGGGGCCACTCTGAGGTCAGACAACTCACTTGCGAGATTGCCAATTAAAGGCAGAGGAAGGAATGGAGGAGGAAAATCGGGTGGTTATAATAATAAACGAAAGGTGGAGCCCAAGTAGCTCCAAGACGGGTGATGGGACAGTCATCTGCCCAGCGGTACGTCGCAGCTCACGCCCGGAGCAGGCTGGGAGGGACGAGGTTTTTACCATAAAGAGTAAATTAAGTCGTATCGGTCCAGCAGGCCAGAAACCCCTCCCCCACCTGCCCCTGCCACCCCGTCCCCCACGCGCACACAGTCACAGCTGTGTGTGGTAATTAGCCTGCTCCTTGGCAGGCTCAGCAAACAGGCCATGAACTGAATGGGCCGCAGAGACAGAACAACCAGGGGACACAATCCCTCCAGACAGGACGGAGGCGAGTGGGTGGGACAGACAGGCAGAGCGTGGGTAGGAGCGGAGGCTCGGGGTGGGTGGAGGATGTTCACCCTGCTGAGGTGAGGGAGGCGCATGGCTCTTGGAGCTAATGAAGAACAGGAGACACCTACCCTTCAGCCTGGCATCAGGAGCTGCCTCCTTCCCCTTCTGCTCACGGAGCTCTCGAGGCCTAGTCACTCCTGCTTTCCTCTGACGGGCGGCAGATGCTCCCCCATCCTGCCCCTCCCATGCGTGGGTGGAGGATGTTCACCCTGCTGAGGTGAGGGAGGCGCATGGCTCTTGGAGCTAATGAAGAACAGGAGACACCTACCCTTCAGCCTGGCATCAGGAGCTGCCTCCTTCCCCTTCTGCTCACGGAGCTCTCGAGGCCTAGTCACTCCTGCTTTCCTCTGACGGGCGGCAGATGCTCCCCCATCCTGCCCCTCCCATGCCATTTCTCGGGTGCTGGGTGGCAGGGGAGCCAGTCAGGAGCAGCTGGCACCGGAGGAAGGAACAGAGGAAAGAAGCTGGCTCCTAGCGGCAGGCCAAGGGCTGCTTGGGCAGGGCTGCTCCCTGGGCGGGGGGCTCTTAGAATCAGCGCTGTGTCCCGTTCAGTCAGCTTGGCCTGGTGCGATGAGAAGAGACGCACGCAGGCGTCGAAGCTGGACTTTGACAGAGGTGTGGACAAAGTGAATAAGGAATTCACTTATTCCCGCAATATAAAAACGAGGGGTCGCCAAATGAAATACACAGGCATCAGGTTTAAAACAAACACAAGGAAGTTTTTCTTCACTCAGTGCACAGTCAACCTGTGGAACTCCTTGCCAGAGGATGTGCTGAAGGCTAGGACTTTAACAGGGGTCAAATAAGAGCTAGATAGATTCATGGAGGTTAGGTCCGTCAATGGCTATCAGCCAGGATGGGTAGGAATGGGGTCCCTAGCCTCTGTTTCTCTGGAGGTGACAGGGTGGGATCCCGTGAGGATTACCTGTTGTGTTCCCACCCTCTGGGGCATCTGGCATTGGCCACTGTCAGCAGACAGGATACTGAGCCAGGATGGCCGTTCTTATGTTCTTATGTTCTTTGGAACCTATGTCAGAACGGGCTGATCTATCAGGCTTTGGAACAGGCTGGACTTCCCATTGCTCCTACATTTAAAATGAGACAGGAGAGAGCACAGGAGACGCTGGAGAATGAACATGTTGGCCTAATGTCTGATTCCTCTGAGCCTGTTGCTGACGCAACATTATTTTGCATTGATACAGGCAGTGGCCGCGAGTACTAGTGAACTACCACAAGCCACGCTCTCAGGGGATCAAGAAAGTGTCCACCTCTTGGCTTTTTTTCTTTCCCAGGTTTCCAAGTCCCATACTTCGGAGACGCCTGCTCCATTTTAGAATTGTATCTACAACTATGAAGTCCCTCTGGATAATCTTGTTTCTACTGGTGCAAGGTAGAGTCTTTGCTTGGAGAAAGGCCAACATGAGGAGCAGCCCCTCTCACCCCCACTCCAAGACAGCCCCTTGTCTTCAACTCTTCCCCACGTCAGGCTGGGCAGGTGGCCCTGCTGATCAGGGTGGCAGAGTGAATCACTCTGGGACAGAGCATTAGGTGCCCCGCTTATCCTACATCTACACGCCCAATTGCCACATTTGGCTTGAAAAGGAACTTTTGCACCTGGAGTGTCCATTTGAAGGTCTGTCGGGATGTTAGCAAACACAGGTACCTGTCTGAGTGCACCCGTGCATACACATGGTACCTGCGTGTGCAATCTAAGTGTGCTATTGCTGTGAGTTTCCATACACATCTGGGGCTCTGGCTCTCCTCTAATCTGTATTGGCCTAAATCTGGAGTAACTTCAAATTCTCCACTCAGCTAAACTGTCACAATTCCATTGACATCAGGGGAGTTACCAACAGTAGGCAAAATGTGGCCCAAAGTCATTGGCTATAGTGGGGGACTTTCCTCAAAGTGCTCCCAGCAGAAATGTGCTAGGACTGAAATACCCCAAATTAGCTAGTGAAACAATACAATAGTAGCTGAACTTGCTATTTCCCTGAATGCTGAGAGAGCCAGATCACAGATGTAGGGGGTAGCTGGGTTGTAGACTGAGGATGGGAATGAGGACATAGCTAGACTCTTCCCCCAGCTGCAGAGCAGCAGTTTATACAGGATGGCAGTGGATTTCCTTCTGAAACCCTAAAGCCAGGTCTACACTGGTGGAGAAAATCAATGCAAGATACGCAACTCCAGCTATGTGAATTGTGTACCTGGAGTCGACGTATCTTGCATCGATTTTCTGGGGCAGCTCCACAGTGGGAGGTCAATAGCCTAAACACTCCTGTCAACTTCGCTTGCTCCTTACGACATGAGGAGAAAGGCGGTTGACGGGGGTGCCCGCAGCGTTTGATTTAGCAGGTCTTTACTAGACCCTCTAAATCAAACCCCAGAAGACCGATCGCCTGAACATTGATTCTCCCATAATTGGAGATAAGGCCTTAAGCTCCTTGGAATAACAACAGGTTCAAATCCCACAAAAGCTGGCTCAGTATTGCCAAAAGAAGGAAACTGATCTTCATGCAGTTCACGGCGCGTGTGGCTTTTGCATGACTCCTCTCTGCTCTCCAGAGACATTAAAGATTGCTTGATTTGATGACTGCCTTTACCATGGTTTGTACAGAACTGTCCCGTCTGTACAGGAGGACTGTGCTCAACCTCTGGTTTCTTTGCTGGCGCACAAGGTTTTCTCATCCACAATGCTAAAGTCTGTGGCCGTGTCGACATTGACATCCCTTTCCAGAAAGTAGGAATAAGAAATCCTCCGGAAAAGGGCTTATTTTCCGGAGAATCATGTCTAGACTGGCGCTTTTCTCTGACTTATCCCCAAGCCGGAAAAAAGCGGCAGCCATGTAAATGCAAATGACGCGGGGGATATTTAAATCCCCGTGGATTTGCAATTGCGATGTGTCTCATTAGCATCCCTTTCCCGGAAAGGGATGCCAATGTAGATACAGCCAAGCTGTGTTTACAAGCCAGCTCCACAGATGAGAATTTCCTCTTAGCGGGCTGTGATCCCACATCAGAGTTCCAACACTGGTCTTGGCAAGACAATTCCTTGCTCAACGAAGGTACTGGGAAATGTCTGTCTGCCAAAGGAGGCAGCAGAGAGCACCTAAGTCCCTGTGAAAGTGCAGCACATGCAAAGTGGGAGTGTGTTGATTTCACACTGCATTCTGTGGGTAGCACCCATCTATACCTGACAGCAGAGAATAATACAGCCTCTCTGGGGGATATGAAAAGCGCAGCTGCCTGATGGCGAGTCAGTAGGAGGCGAAGTGTATGTGACGAGAAGCCAGGTAAGCGTCAGACACCGAAAAGAAAAAGACACTCACTAAACACATGCATCCCTTGCTAATACCATGCACTGAATTTGCTGTGGTTTTGCAGTCCTGTGTGTCACACACAAGGGGGTTCTGCAGTCCCGGCCAATCAGCTGAAAAATATCAGCTGGGTTTTTCTAACTTTTTTTCTCATGACCCAGTTGAAGAAAATTGGTGATGCCACGAGCCAACATAATTTGACTGGAGTGTGGGCTCCGGGGTGGGGCTGAGGAGATGTACGAGAGGGCTCCGGCTTTGGGGGTGTCAGGGCTGGGGCAGGAAGGGCTCACATGGAGCAGCTCCTGGTTAGCGGTGCAGTAGGGGGGCTGGGCAGCTTCCTGCCTCTCCTGGTCCCACCATGGGGAGAAAAAGTACACCTGCAAAATTAGCAGGCTCAGGGCAGATTTTGAAGACATATTCCCTCAGTGGAGGACATGGCCCTTCTCACGTTCCTGTCTTCCAAATGATCATTATCAGACTCCCCCTGCCACCTTGAAGTTTGGCCTGTTGCTGGCGGCTTCTGGAGCTCAGTCTGTGGTGCCAGGACAGGCAGGAAGATATCTTAGCACCTCCACTGGTCACCTGCAGCAACGAGACCCAGTGCCTGACACTCCACGTCCCAGGACTACATCACTCCCCGTAGTCTGAAAACCACTGTACAAGACAGCAGTCTGCCCAAGGAAGAAGCACGTAGAGAGAAGTTGGTACTACAGGTCCCAGACGGTGGAAAATCAACATCGGATTTCTCAGTTTGTTTAGGTAAAACCTGAGGTAGATCTGAGGTCATTTGAATTAAAGGCACAAGTGTCTCTAAGGGTATGTCTACACTACCCCGCTAGTTCGAACTAGTGGGGTAATGTAGGCATACCGCACTTGCAAATGAAGCCCGGGATTTGAATTTACTGGGCTTCATTTGCATAAGCGGGGAGCCGCCATTTTTAAAACCCCGTTGGTTCGAACCCCGTGCAG